CCCCGGGCGGCCTTGCCGGGCAGCTCCGGGCGCTCGGCCTCAAGCTGCGGGAGGTCCCAGGTGACGGGTGAGCGCGGGGCCGGCACCTCCGCCGAGCTCTCTGCCTTCTGAAGCCCCTCAGGCCTCTGCAGGCTCCCTCCACCCCCGGCAGTGCAGGGCCTTTGTCCCGGGGGGCTCCCTTGGCCTGTCACCAGCAGGGCCGAGGGCTCTTCTAGCCCCAGGCTTGTCTCCCACAGGCTTGAGGGCCACCCTGTCTGCCTGGGGCATAGGAAGCACCATAAACATTGGGAGAAAGGGGAGTTAGAAACCTGGTTGCTGAGGAATTGCTTGGTGAATCGTTGGGTTGTCCTCTGTGGCGTTGTCATTTGTCTTGGTTGCAGTTTAGGACAGTTTGGCATGGTGCTATTAGTCCTGTTGACTTGCTGTGTAGGATCTGATGCTGTTGTCACCCAAAACAATGCTGTTGTTGTATTACCAATTCTGACTTCAACAGCCATTCTAAGTCCTGGGAATAAGTGGTATTTCACTTCCATATCCTTGTTGAATTACTGGGCAGAAGGAGCGTAGCTCATTTCTCCTCCTGTTAACACTGGCCAGACACTGCTTCCAATCTGGACTCTTTAATGAGGAAGCAGCTGCATCCCTTTTCATTGGCAGTGTTTGGTGCTTGAGTCAATACATCAATGCAGGATTGCGCTGGGGGACGCTTCTGCTGCGCAGTCTGTGTTCTTTCTGCTCCTCCTTCGGGGTGGTTGGTTTGGGGTATCCTGTTAACCACCTTTCAAACATGCTAACTTGCAGTTTCTCTTTTGGTAGTAATTGTTTGTTTCGGGCCCTCGGTGATCAGCTTGAGGGGCATTCACGGAACCACCTTAAACATCGCCAGGAGACAGTGGATTACATGATAAAGCAGCGGGAGGATTTTGAGCCTTTTGTGGAGGATGATGTTCCCTTTGAGAAACATGGTATGGTCTCCGTAAGGCAATAACGGAAGGGGATATTCTGCATCATCTCATTTGGGTACCTTACTACACTGTTTCTCATCCCAGAAGTATTTTAGAGCAGCTCTCCAGTTTTTAGACACAGTAGTTTCTCTTTGTTTTCTTTCTTTAGAAAAATGAGCTGTTACATTTGCTTTGGATCTTTTTAAAATTAAGGAGAAACCTGGCATAGGAAAGAAAAAAGCAAGGAGTACAAATATGCTATTTTCAAAAGGAACTTAGAATCTAAGTGTCTAGCTCCCCTTGAATGCTGGTGGGTGTTGAGTGGCTGATTTCCATGGGTTTCTTTTTCTCCT